CGTCGTCGAATGTCGTAAAGGATCTACTTTTCATAGCATGTCACACTGCTCTCGAGAAACAGGTAGTTTCTATTGCGCAGAAGAAGGGCAGAGGACACCTCAAAACAACGTTTTCTTTGATTTTTCTTCAATTCGTGGGACATTGACTTATCAAGCTTTCTCAACATTATAGTGGCCCATAGACTTTTAGAACTGTCACATGCGATACTGCTAATCCAGAAGCAAGATCTCGAATAGTTTTACGCGGATTTGCTTTAACTAAGGCCCTTAATTGATTGTTGCTCACTTCCAGTGGCCATCCAAAACGATCTTCATCTTCAAGCCTCTCATAACCTTTACAAAATTTCTGAAACCACCATCGTTCAATACGGTTATCAGTGGTTCGAGCACCAAATGCACTGTTGACATCAATGGCTGTTTCCGCTTCAAGTTTAATTTGGTAGAAGAAAGTTGTACGCATTTGTCTTGTCCATATTTGTATTAAATGTTCTGTAGAAATGTATTTTTGTGATAAACTGTCACTACAGTTAGATAGAGCGTAAAACAGGCTTCCAAATGATATACAAGGTCTAGGCAACTTATTAATAATTATTCAAAAGCATTTGTTAAAATAAATTATCAAAATACGCAATACCTTTATTATCAACCTAATACACTACAGTTACACTATCTGTCACTTGTATTCCAGAGGATTTCGGCTTTTTGTAATTATTGGTTTAAAGGTAGTATTAGCTTCAGGTCTTCCTCAGACTAATTCGCCTTACAGAGACAGGAGCCCTGGGAGTCATTTTAGTCACCTCAATCGGAGAAAACTAGGAGGGGTTTTTGCGTCGGGTTTATAACCTACGTGGTAGAATCTGAAAGAGATGAAAAAATGCTCCACAAAAGACTGTTTAGACGAAGGGCATATGGAAGACACTATTTGGAGTAACACTAGTTATCTTATCCAAAACACCAAAATTTCTAGCCTGAAGTCGCTAAGAGTAAAAGTATTACAGAAGGTTTGACTGTTGTTAAATGCTTCTTCTTACCTCTGCTATCTGCCACTCCCTACCGCTTCAAGGGAAAGAACTCACACAGGCTCTGCACGCAATCCTTCTATTTACAAGTACGGTGAAAGTACAACTAGCTGCGATTTTTAAAAACTCACTGGCCCACTCGATCGATCGCACTGAGGCAGACTTCCGAAATTCAGCTGCACTTACGTCTCTATAACCTACCCCTTCAAATTAATTGTTCCTACCTATTTTCCACAATTGGGCTTGATCGTAGCTTGTTACCCTGGGGTTCACTTGTAGCCATCATGGTTGCCTTCATCTTCGACTTGGCGTACATGACAGGTCGTGTGGTGCACGAGCTACCGGCTGTGTTCCCCTTTGAGGATCAGATCTGTTTTCGAACCCAAATTTATCCAGTAGTATCTCCCACTGCAGTCTGCTGATTCTTAAGGTCTTTGAGTGTTTCCATTTTGCGTTCGTAGATGATTTACATATTTGGTCCACTTTTCCTTTCCAACCATTATCTCATAAATACTCTTACCCGTAACCGTTCCACTAGACCATCTTTCCGGGGTCTGGAAGTTTCGTACGTACACCAAGTCGCCGATGTTGAACCTACGAAGCCTATTATTCTACTCCTGTCTCGTTTGTCTGTTGCGTTTTCCAATATTTCTGGGGATCAGGCTATCAAATGCCGATCTAATTTTTAGTCCAAATAGACATTCAGCTGGTGATTTGCCCTCCGGTGTGTTTGGATTCGGAGTGTTTCGATACATCCTCAAAAACGCCTGAATTGCATCTCATGACACCCTCGTTCCTTCGGCTTTGAGAAGAGCACGTTTAAAGGTATTTACAAAACGTTCGGCCTGTCCATTCGATTGTGGATGGTACGGCGGCGAAAATGTGCTGGGTTTTGTTTTGCATGTAAAATTCTCGGAATGGCGTTGATATGAACTGTACTCCGTTGTCCGTAACCAGCATCTCCTCTGTGCCAAAATACTGGAACGGTTTGTTTAGCTCATTGATAGTGTGCTGGATGGTGGGATTTTGCATCGGAATCACCTGGGGCCATTTTGTGTGGGAGACAACAAAAATCAAATAAGATTGACCGTTGATTGGTCCCACATAATCTAAGTGAACTCTCTGCCAGGGCTTCTTCAACTCGGGCCAAGGTTGCCACGGACATTTTGGAGATGCCTTTGCCGCTTGCTGACAAGATTAACAACTTTAGCAAAACTGTTCGATTTCTGAATCCATTCGAAGCCAATACACAAACTTCCTGCCAGTACCTTCATTCGGCTGGTTCCTGGATGTCTTGAATAAAACTGCTGTAGTATATTCACTTCCGCAACTTCCTTGATACCAGGACCCGGTCTCCAAACATTAGACACTTGTCAACGACCAAAAGAGATCCGCGCCGATTGAAGAAAGGTCGTAACAGTCGAAATTTTGACATTAGGCCAACTGGACTTCACAAACCCTATCACTCTCAGCGAGATCTTGTCTTGAGCCATCTCTGCACGAATGGTGTCCGAAGTTAGTTGCAACTCCCTTACACTGTCAACCAGGATCCGCTGAACTTCCCATTCGATTTTGACAGATACGATCACGCAGTCATCGTTTTCCTTCGAGTGGGAACTGATGAGGCGAGATAGAGCGTCAGCTTGGCCGAGTTGTTGCGTCGAGCCAGTAGTACGGTTGCCCATCTCTGTAACCGATTTGCTGTGAAAGCAGGAATACCCTTCTGTGATCCAAATATTGAGAGTAAAGGTTTGTGGTCCGTGATCAGTTTGAAATATCTACCATGTAACATCTTGTGAAACTGTTTCACTGCGAAAACAATTGCCAGCGCTTCCTTCTCAATCTGGCTGTAATTTTTCTCCGCCAATGCCAGCCATCGTGTTGCGTGCGCATTGGCCTTCTCTTCCTGGAAACACGTGGGAATTGCCAGCACCTACCTTATAATTGGATGCGTTCGAAGCAACAGCAGTCTCCAAGTTTGGCTTAAAGTGGGTCAAGAGTAAACCAGAACTAAGTGGGTTCGGATCCCACCTCCGTAGCCACTGTCGTGAAACACTGCTTCATTGCCACTCCCAGTCGCGTCAATGAAACGAACTCACACAGTCTCTGCACACAATTCTTTTATTTACAGGTATGAGAGAAACTACAGCTAGCCATGTTTTTAAAACTCACTGGCCTACTCGATCGACCGCACTGAGGGAGACGTTTCCCAAATTCAGCTCCGCTTACATCTCTATCATGACAATCAATCAAAGTATTGCAAATATTTAAATTGCGCGATGAAACCAACGGTTTCAAATTCCAACTTATTTCATCACTCAGGCCTATACTGAGATCAAGTCCGTGAGCCCACGCCTTTCGCTACACACACGTGCTGGCTCCAAGCTCGTCTAGGTCGCGTCAAACGCACCGCCTAGCGAGCAAGACGACGATCACACGTTCGTGTGAGAGACAGGTATATGACGAGTTACTTTGACCCCGTCGGTTCGTGTTCCCGTCTTTTTCGACATCTGGGTCATTTTGGCACTCAGATCCGTGCGTCACTTCGCTGCAAGCACATGTCATCGCCACAGGTTGGCTTAAGCGGACTCGCGAGCTACCGTTCGCGTGTTCGTGGGTGTAAGGCGTAATTGAGGCACTGGTTGGCTACTGCCTATTATAGGCATTTCTCGGCGGCCGCCGGCATCAATGGTAACTGAAATGGATTCGCCTGTACCTGTTTTATACAGTTACCGATAAGACCAGTTAAGTTGTTAGAAAACCCTTAACTTGGGCTTCCAGAAACGACCACCATTCATGTTGTAGGATGGAAAACGAATGACGTTGTACACGTGCGTCTCAGCGGAGAGAACGTAAAGTTAATAAATCGATGTGACATGCTAATGCGTAAATTTGTGATGTATTCAGCACGTCGAGTCTGATCCGATGTAGGCGGAATTAGGATAAACATTGGAGGGTTAGAATAGTCCGACCTCACGCCACTGACGTTGTGTGTGTGTGTGTGTGGAGACGAGTCTCATACCGGGTCCAACTTTGGATGCAGTTCTGGTCCACCTCTTTTGGTGTTCCCAACTACGTCTGCTCACGGTTCTTGGACATCAAATCTAGAACTCTTGAATCTCGATACAGCGAACTTTGATTTTGGAGTCTAGACATCCTGATCCCAACTTGTGCACTGACTACTTTTCTTTCTTTCCATTTAACACTGGTGCGAGGACGGTGTGGTAACCTGTGAGCTAGTATACGAGGTAGGTAAGGGAAATAATGAAGACTGTAGGAAACCTAAACACCTCAGTGGTCGGGTGTTTGTTTGAGCAACCTACCAACATGGATACTAATACGATGTCGCAGTTGTACACTAGCGATGATCCGAAGGTAGCGGTGGTTAAAAAAGAACTTTCTCTGAGCATTACTCGGACAAACAGGCCCCTGGCTTGGAGTTCTTGACCATAATATAGGAGTGATATGGCGACGATTATTGAGGTGGGATTCTTTCCATGGATGTGCGCCTCCTGGTTTTCAACTCCTTGTCTGGTACACCAGGAAACCCGTTTGTGGAATACGTATTCTTCTGATCCCTATTCTAACTATTTTCTCCACTTTTTAATCACTGGATGTACTCAGGAATGGTGTTGGACAATCGTCACCAGGCCAATTAATGCTTTCCATCTAAATAAAACGAACTATTCTTTTACAGATTTACCTTTTGACACATTTCATCGCATACATGCAGACGAATTTCATAACCACATTATATGTTTTTAACACATTGTGCGAACTTCTTCGTATACTTGTGTTTGCGGGCTTCAGAGACATCAACTTAACGCAATATACTGACCTATACTTGAACTTAGTAAAACTTTCTTTTTGCTGCTCTGATTTCCTTTAATTCATGTATATTCGCTTACCATCGAGGCGATTGTAACCTGTACGTTGTATTTTTATCTTTTGTTTTCATTTCTTCTAAATTTTACTTTTCAGAGAAGAAAGACTTCCACTGCACGCTGTGCCAAAAGCAATTCACTGAGAAAAAGAATTTGCAGATGCACATCAATGCGTTGCATAAAGGTTGGTTGTCATTTGTTTCCACGATCTCCCTACTGCTTTGACTTTACTCCCCATTTCTATTCACCTGTACATTATGATGTCTCTCGGTTTGTCGTTGTTGCAAACGCTTCTTCTTTACCTCTGCTCTCTGTCCCACTCCTAGTCGCGTCAAGGAAAGAACTCACAGAGCATCTGCACACAATCCTCCTAGTTACAACTGCTGAAATGCACAACTAGCTGTTTTCTAAAATCTCTGGCCTACTCGATCGATCGCACTGAGGCAGACTTCCCAAATTCAGCTGCACTTACGTCTCTATAATCTCCTCCTTCAAATTAATTGTTCCTACCTATTTTCCACACTTGGGCTTGATCGTAGCTTTTTACCGTTGGGTTCACTTGTAACCATCGTGGTTACCTTCGTCTTCGACTTGGCGTACATGACAGGTCGTGTGGTGCACGAGCGACCGGCTGTGTTCCGCTTTGGGGATCAGCTTGTAGTCATGGTGGGCGTCTGCGCTTTCGAGTCGGCCTTCATTCTGTGTCAACTGCGGCTTGCATCAGCTTCGTCTTCCAAACAAAACGTGTCTAACAGGATGTCCCATGGTAGGGATCACGATTCTGGGGGACTTCGAGTCTTGCCGTGATTCGGCCTCAGCTGATTGGTGTACCTGACATTTTTCTCCTTCCCTACCATTTGCTCGTAGACGACCCAACCATTTCTGTGGATCACTCCTCCTGTCGACCACCTCTTCGGTCCTTGGAAATCTTGTGTGTACAACATGTTCCCAATTTTGAAATGACGCACGCTGTCTGTACGCTTTTCCTCCGCATGATAACTGCAATGCTTTTCTATCTCGCTTGGCACAAGGCGGTTTGCTCTGGATACTGGTTTAGTGGCTGAATTGAGGTTCAGGGCAGCACTGGTGATTCTGCAACCAGTCTATCTTTGTCTGTTTTCGTTATCACTTATGTAACCAAAGAAAGCACTCTCAGCACAAGCTACACTACTCAGCATGTTTGGACGTTTTTCCACGGTGAATGATTTCAGTTGCATTAAAAGATGTCTGACTTCATCTTCTTTGGGAGTTTCTGTGATTTCCAAATCCTCCTCACTCAGTCCATTTTCTTTTTCATCAGCATCAGGTGTTTGTTCTTTGTTTCCGTAGAAGACTTCCACAGTCAACATCTTTTGGAAACTAGCATCTGTGTGTAGTTCAGTGCAAGTTACCAAGTATTCGTCTTCCTCAACAAACTCTTTAAACTCGGCCCCCTCAAATTCTGCCAATTGAGATGAATGTCTAATAGGGCGACGGCATTCTGATCGAGAAATTGTATAACTTCGGTTTTTTTGCTACACTTTTTTATTATTTTTGGTTGAACTTTGAACCAAGCGGAAATTATCCAAAGAACAGCATCCAAGACATTAATTAGAGCAACAGATAAAGTTCCTTGCCCATTTGAATCAATAGTATGCAATTCCGCCATAGCCCATTGCATGAGCCGGGCTCGGTAGTGCATTTTGAATGTTTTGTCGATGCTTTAGCCCAAAGGTCATGCTTGATACAGAAACTTATGCGTAATATTTATGATATCGTTTACATGGGTGTGACTATGACAGTTGTCCACTTTTGGGATAATGAAGCTTTCCTTCTTCATCACTTCCTTGTCGATACTTCTGATCTACTCCTCAAATAAGGCGTCAGTCATCCACGCAGATCGGTTTGGTCTCTAGATGACTGGAAGGTTTTCAGGATTTAGGTTTTTGTACGCACGTGGTCTAGCTGAGTAACCAATGACCATGGGCTTTAGCTTCTCCCCATTTGAGCTGGTGCACAACAGAACTGTGAAATGCTCTTTGGAATGTTTTACACACTTATATTTGTCACCCTTTATAACAAGGTTTCTGTTAGGCATCGCCTTGTAAAAGAGACCGCACTCGTCAGCGTTAAAAACGTCGTCATTGTTGAAGCCCTTGTTGAAGTCAGAAAGTTTTTCGATGATATCTTGAACAAACTCTTCAGGCACTTCATTAGATTCACCATACAAAACTCATTAGAAAATTTCACGTCGGAGTTTGAATATCTCCAGCCAATCATTGGATATCTGGAAATCTGCAACGCCAAAATCTTGGGAGAACCTTTGAGCGATTTCGTGAACCTTCGGCCCAGAAATTCGAACGTTACTTGCCCACATTTGCTTGAACCAGCGCCGCGTAACTTCACTGACTTCATCATGTGATGTTTTTCGCCTTTTCCGCTGTTGATCTCCTCTTTCATTATCGTATCTGTCCAAGTACTCATGTTTATGTCTTTGGATATTGCTGTTGTTTTATTAACACCAAAAGGCTGTGCCGTCTTTCTTTGGCTACTGCGTTCTAGAAAATGTAGCGGACTAGTCTTTTCCTTCAAAGTCAACTCTCTGAAGTCTTTTCTTTGGGCCATATGTTCGATTACTCGTAATGACCGACACTAGTTTGTTCAAAGCACGGAGTAGATATAAGGTCTACAGTTCTATTTACGTAACATTAATTACATACAATAACTAACCTCAATTGGTTTCACCCTCCGGCCGACACCAAATAGAGCCGGATAAACTCAACAATTAAATTGGACGTAAACGACAATCTCACCACAATCCAAGATGTTAGTGAACTGGTGCGTAGATCGGTGGTTACTCAAGGGTTTGCTAGTCACTCAAATTCCTGATTGCGTTCTGTGCGATGAGTGGACACATGACCTTTGGGGTAGACGAAGGCTTGCCTGTTGACGGATGAGGCAGGTTAAGCAAAATCGTTCTAGGTCATTCCGTGGACGTCCAGCTATAGGGACCCACATTGATCTAGGTGGTAATACGTGTGCGCGCAAACGCTGACGGCCGGAACAAACACCCACATGCCCAAAGAGAACCTACGGTATCCACAAACGTAAAGTTCACTGATTTGGGCGCAGAAGTCCACGCATAGCAGCCCCGCTGCACATCGTGTTATAGGAACCACAGAGTCATTCGCGAACCATTGAATGGTAGCCCTCCAATGGTCAACTTATGGAGGTTGAATTACTACGGACTGTTACAGCCCAACTGGTCAAAGTACAACTTACAGAACTGGTTAACATGCAGAGCTCTCTTTCCATAGGGTTTGCATTTTGATAGTTCAACCTATGCCAAAGTGGTCAGCATACAGAGGTGGCCAATTTTGGAGGTTTTACTGTATATGCATATGGTTGGCGGCGTCCGGTTTCGGATTTGCCTGTCACTGTGGCCTGTCACAGCCTAGCACGGTCACATGGACCGTGCACCCCGTCCCCTACAGCAACGATCAACTGTCTCCTGGAGCCAGTATGGACGAGGTACTGGGTAATAGACAGGTAGGCACCTTGTCATCATGCACATCAAGCGCAGCCACACCGGGAATGTTAAGCAACAGGCAGTCACTTGAAACGACGATAACAAATAAAGTAAATCGAATACTGCAAACTGATAAAGTCACATAACTCTTCAATAAATGAGCATATGAAATAAATTCGTTAGGAACAAATCCGCGATAAGTTCATGAGGTCAGAGAATATATCTTAAGAAAATACCACAAACTCGAAAATGTTATCGGAGTTAACTAAAATAGTTTAAGAGATGTGTGCAAGTCTATAAGAGGTACTGCATATAAACATTAATATGAGATTAAAAAGCATTAGGATAACACAGCAAACCCACCACCTGAAATAAAGTGACTCAGCATGCAAGCACGCGGTTAGTAAATCTAATGCAGTGTACCTACAAGCGCTGCACCGGTTCTCCCTACGTTCCCTGCAGGGCTCGTCGTCGTTTCGATGTTGACCCCAAGTGGCTTCGCTCATGGCTCATTAGGCCTGCCTGACTCAGGCGCTCGTGACCGCATCTGCTACTGCACCATGCACTCGATGTCGATGAAGAACAACCCATCGGTGCTTGCCGCTTCCGCACTTGTCGCTTCTCTGCATGCATGAGGTCTTTCTCTCGCACCTCGTCAACAGCTTTCTTGATCAGATCGCGCCGTGCACGCCGATCAACCGCCTTCGATTTCCTTGGCCTGCAATCAAAATTACAACGTGAGAGGCTCAGTTCGATCATGTCCTGGTGACGACGCTTCGATTCCCCCACATGCCGCTTCCCCAAGCTCAGCTGACCATATAATAGTTACTTCGGTATCCGCGTCGAATCCATGCACCACACGTGGCCGAGTCACCTTAGGTGTCTTAGCAAAAGTATGCATTCCACTGCATACATTCCACTTCGGCGCAACACTTCCGTGTCCGCAACTCTGCCGCACCAAACAATGCGCAGAATCCGTCGCAGACACTGCTGATGGAACCGCTCGAGATATCGCACATCCCGCCGGTAGGTCGTCCACGTTTCGCTGCCATATAGAACAACGGACGGCACCATGTATTTGTACCCCATCAGCTTCGTGTCAACGGTAAGGTGATGGTTGTTCCACACTCGGTACTCAAGCTTCCCGAATGCCGCCGCTGCCATCGAGACTGGGATACGCAGCTCACTGTGTAGCTGCCGGTCAGTCGACACCACACTCTTAAGCTAGCGCAAGCGGGAGGTGGTTTCCAATACTTCAGCACCAATGCTGATTCGCGGCAATATTGAAGATTGCACCTCCGGTGAAGGTTGAAAGAGACAGACAGTTTTGTTTGTGTTGATGGTGAGTCCGAATTTGACCGCTGTCAAAGCCAGAGCACTAGTCATGTGCTGCAACTCATCCGCGCTATGTGCAAACAACGCACAGTCGTCAGCAAACAGCAAAATGCGGATAGTTGTCTCACAGACTAGAGTTCTCGCACCGAAACGACGAATGTTCACCAACCCACTATCAATACGGTGCTCCACACCAACATCGTATGCACAAGCGGCAGCAAACGCAAAAGACGTTATTGCATAAAGATATATATTAAACAGGGCAGGAGCTAACACACAGCCTTGCTTCACACCAGAGACAACTGCAAATTCATCGGAGGTCTCTCCACTCAGCTGCACCC